AAAATAGACTATGTGAAAATATTAATGATAATAACTGGAATTAAATGTATAACTCAAACATCCACACCTGCGAACTGTGAACCATGCCTTTAATATTTTAAGCAGAAAATATTTTACTCTTACATCTGGTTAATTCGCAATTACTATTGGAAGATAAAAAATTAAATAATAAATTATATGTTTTTTTTTATTTTCACTTGTAAGTTGGTACTGGTATGTTTTTGTATGTATTAACTCTGTAATTGGATTTAACTTCTGAGCTTGTTTCGCCTTTCTGAACCCCCATACTATCACACGGATTCGTCTAGTTCCCCTGAAATTTTAGCTTTGGTGATTATCTTAGATTATACAAACCTTAGATGGAACATAAGACACTGCGCATAATCCCATTTCGAAATTATTCACACCAACCAATCACAGTTGAGAACATCACATGTCAGAGCGTTGTCCATCCAAATTTAATGTCAACGAGAATTAATTTGGTTTTTTAGTGACTTAAATTTTGGAAATTAACGTTTAAAATGCCAAGATGTGTTGTAGAAAGCTTTATTTATAATAAAAGTGCGAAATGTGACGGAGATAAAAGAAACTTATATTTATTTCGGTGAGATTTAATTTTTAAAGATTCTGTCGACGTCCATATTTGTTGATTTGAAAATAAACAGAATCGGACTTGGTCATTGGTACATGTTATAAGTAGCAAATAAAGGTTATTTTTATAAACTGTTTACTATTTGTTGTTTCATGGTGAATCTGTTTTCAAGTGAAAAGAAAAGCATACAATCAAATACAAAAATATCAATTTCATTGCCAATTTATTCTTTTCAAACTTCACAATTGGTTTCAATAGTTTTTTCAAAACTATTTATTTAGTATTTCTCTATAACAGGGCTACTCAAAGTGTGCTCCGTGGAGCCCTGGGGCCCCGCAAAGCCTTTGTGAGGAATCCGCGAAGAAAATCATAATAAAAAAAAAAACAGTACTATCGCCACAAAATGGAGTGACCTTGCTTGAGGAACTTTTTTTTTGAGAAGTAATTTTTTTAAGTCACTAAGAGGAAGGAGGATATGATTTTGCTTTAGGACTTTTATTTTATTTTTATGGGTGAAATGGGTTTGGGATAATTCTTGCAAGGAATCTTTGGAATTAATCAAAAATAAATTAACAACAAATTATGTTCTTATGCATTTTCAGCCTGAGTTGCCGATTAAATTAATAGTAGATGCATCAAATGTGGGAATAAGGGCCATATGTCATGTTTTTTAAAAAAATATTGAGAAATCTATAGCTTCTGCATCGCGTACCTTATCAAAGTCCGAACAAAAATATTCCCAAATTGAAAGAGAAGGCCTTGCAATAATTTTTGGCTTAAATAAATTTAATGAATATTCATATACACATTTATTTATCCTAGTTACAGATTACTTACCTCTGGTAACTATTTTTAACCCAGCTAAAGGTATACCCCAATTTTCAGCCAACAGACTACGTAGATGGGTAGTAATATTGTCAAATTACAATTATAAAATTGAATATGTAAAATCGGAGCATAATATGAAGCCGATTTTTTATCACGTTTACCTTGAAAGTCAAAATGAGAGTCAAATTGAAGAAAAAAATTTGAAAAATATTTTTTAAATTATGTGTTTAATGTGTTGAAGGCCCCGTCAAATATTTCGCTTTTCAAAAAGGTTCCGTCCCCAAAAAAGTTTGAGAAACACTGCTCTATAATAATATGGGATCTATCCATTTAATTACATTTTATTTTCTCTAATTTTGACATATAAAGTAATATATTTTATAAAGTAGAACATTATGCAACTGATTACGAAAAGTTGATTATGTCCCCAGTTACGAAATGAAAATAAATAAAATTGCCTCTTTTTTGGTTTTTAAGTTGAAAAATCGAGAAATCGATCAATCGAAAAATCGAAAAATCTAAAAATAAAAAAATCTAAAAATAAAAAAATCGAAAAATCCAAATACGAAAAATCGAAAAAACCAAATATCGAAAAAAAGGCCGAGAATAGTGACATTTCACATTTAAAAATATGACATTACGTTTAACAACAAAAAAGAAAACAAAAAAGAAAAGCTTTAAATTGCGTTATATTTTTTAAATAATTGAACACCGTTATTGAAAACTGCCCAGAAATGTTGGGGGTAAAATTTTGACGTACTCCTTTATGGATAATGGGTAAAAATGTTTTTTTTTTTAACATTCTCGCGGGTAATGTCAAAAATCAGATCGACAACACTGCACATGTTCCTTATTTATATTATTATTAAAAAAAAAAAACGTCGTAGGGCAATCAAATACAACAATTTTCTGAAATATTTGATTGGAAGTACCTACAAAAGAATGCTGGTGAATTATTTTTCAACACAATTTTATAAATAATCAAGACAAAATTAGAAAAAATCTTGTATGTAAACACGTTACCAAATGCCGTTTTGTGTAACTCGTTCATTTTGCAGGACCTCGCTCCGCTCGTCCCGCAAATATTTACTCGTTACACAAAATAAGGCATTTCGTAACTGGTTACATAAATAGCTATTAATTGACTTCCTAATATTTTAAATCATTGAACGGTATTTTCCGTAAATAATTAAATCATAAATAATTACCGGTATATAAGTACCAAAACATTTTTTTCTTCTTCGAAGAATAGGCTTATGTCAAATAAACTTAAAATATAACGAACGAAAAGGTAACCCATTTCTAATAAAATTTAATTATTTATTTTATTTTGGTGTGATCGTAGAAAAAATCTTATGTGTAATTCGGCAAAAAGTACTTTGGCTGTTTCGATAACTTTTTGTCTCAACAGCTATTTTGTTACAATAATTTTATAAACTTCTACTTAGGGTCGATTTCACCGTTTTGTTAAACGAAGTTTAAAATACTAAACGAAGATTAAAATGACATTTTTATATTAACAAAAATAAAGTTTAAATTACTAAATGGAGTTTAAAATGACATTTTTACATTAACAATGTCATTTTAATCTTCACTTAGTAATTTAAACTTCGTTTGACACAACGGTGGAATCGCCCCTTAGCTAGTTATATATTGATAAAGTGTTATTGCCCTCATCATAAATGAATCGTGCTGACAAATAAAGTCAAAAAAACGTGTTATAATTTTTCATCTTTACCTACCAAAATTAGGTACTACAATACAAATATTTAAGTCCGGCCCAGAACATCTCCCTACTCCTTCCACCCAGTTTTTCGGTTTTGGCAAAATTCGCGCACTGAGAAATGCTTCCTATGTTACCTCTACCCTTTCTAACCTCTTTGGTGATTATATAAAATTGCCATGGGCGCCGTTCAAAAAATATCCAGGGGGTAAGTCTTAGAGACAGGGTCAAAACGCCGCAGGCTATAGCCGAAAGCCCATGCCAATTATTAAAACAAAGAGATTAGGAGCCCACAGTTTAAGCCTAGCGGCACCGCAGCCCCAAAGCTTATTAATTTTTTTTTTATTTTATTTTTAGGAGCAGTTTCACTCAACTGGTCTCCGGAGCAGAATTTAGATTACGATGAATAAATACTATGGGTGCCATTTTATTAGTGGAAAACCAATCCGATTTTGCTACAAGATGTCTCAATACAGCCAGTAGTTACTTTGTCAATTTCGATATATACCAGGGCAAAAATCCGAGAGGGAATCTAATTTATGAAAAACAATTTGGAAAATGCATAGCTCTTTTGATCAGTATGAGAGACGAACTTCCAGAAAAAGAGCTGCCATATAGACTCTATTTCGATAACCTCTTGACTGGTTTTAATGTTTTATACTATTTGAAATTATTTTACTGGTATGTGATGGTATAATGGTTGTCAAATGGGTGGACAATAACGTTTTTTCACTCTATAGCAAAAGAAGAGATAATATATACAGCAAAAATAGAAAATGATTTCCAGGATGAAACTGATCATTTTGATGAAAATGTATAAAAATATAGAATTAGCATTAGAGTGGTTATGGCCTATTTTCACCTGGCTCTTAGATGCATGGATGATTTAAAAGGCTTTTAATTTGGACAATATTTTGCGGCTAACATTCAAAAGGAAAATTGTACGAATTTACTCTTCAGGATATAAAATGGCTCCTAAAGGCACTGGCAGTATCCGATGATATTCGCTACGACAGATTGGAAGACCTTTTGGTAAACCCCATAAGGAAAAAAAAAAAGTTGCGCATGTGATAGATGTTTGTCCGTTGTACGTACAATGTGTTGAACATGTGATATTAAATTATGTATTACATATTTTACATATATAATAAATAGTATATCTCAACCAGCTATTGTTTCCATACAGCATCAGGAGTTTTTTTTTTAATAAAAATATAGCTTACTTTCTTTATTTATAAGTTATCTGCTAATAAAATTTCATAAAATAGAAACCCCGCAGTTAATAGGTCCATCCGAAAATACTTCATAAGAGTGCTAGAGAGCTATTTGAAGTAGGCAATTTCTTATTTCAAAAATGATATTATATCTCAAAGTTTAAACTTTGCACATTAACTAAGCTTCTAATGACCATTCGGCCACTGTAAATATGATGTTTCTATTGTAATCACAAAAGGGGCTGACATCCGTGGTCAACAGACCTTTTCAATTATAATTTTTATATTCAAATTTTTAATATATCTTATGGCATATTTGTAAACTGTAAGGTATCTTTTAAAAATAATGAACTCATGTTTGAAATCGCTATGACGAAGGATTTTCGAGAAAATATAATTTGAACTTTTTACGTTTGTTTGGATTAAGAAATTAATTCTATTAGTCTAATATCTGGGATTTCCGTTTGGCAGGCGACTTCTGAGGTAGGAATGCACCTGTTATAACAACAACAACAACAACAACAACAAAAATGATTGATTTAGTCATGTAAACCACAGTTATCGATGTTGTGATTAAAATTTCTAAGCAACTCATATCGATTAAAAGCTGCCGTATTCCTTTATTACTTAAATCTACACTTACCGTCTTGGGCATCTTTAACAAAATTCATAGCCTGGCTTTGATCCATCTGCTCCAAGAGATTCATCAACATCGCCAACCTGCTCCAACAATCACCAGGAGATCTAGAACAACATTATCTGTTAATAATGCTCTTACATAAGCTGCTTTTTTTTAATTTAATATTTATATAGTTCGGGACACACTGAAAATGCAGTATGGCCAGGCATAGGTAATGTATTTCATTGTGTTGCCGGACGTTTTTCCGATAGCTGTGACAGGGCCAGCCCAATGGTAGTCAATGTTATTAGAGCATGTATTCCGGCGGTTGTACTATTGGCACCAAACTGGCCCATCTACCTACTACTCTACGAGGGATCGCTAATCTCGTATACATTATGGGCAACAGCATTAAAGGTCTAGGAAGTTTATTGTACTTATTAGCTAATTATCTGTTAATAGAATGTTAAGAGCACGTAGAATTGGGGATTACGAATTTAGTGTTTTCGTATTCCATACAATGGTAGGGATAACTACCACTTTACTTGAAAATCATTCACAATATTGGACGGGCATTCATTCATTCATACACTTTTCGTATACTGTTTCTTTTGTTACAATCTGGAACGATTTCCAAAACTTGTTTTTCAATCTTTAAATCGGTTAAAGTACATTTACCTATCTGAATATTTCATCAGAGAATATGGATATATCCACAGTGCAAAGTACTAAGGGAAATGGTGGTGTGTTACTTATTGTAAACAAGTTTAAGTTTTCGCGGCAAAAACATTAAAAAGTGGTGAAATTTTTTGGCGTTGCGCTAAAAAAAATATTAAGTACCCGGCAAAGGTGTTCACGATTGGTTCAGAAAACTTGCTAACTAGGAGTTCCCTAATTCACAACCATGAATCGGATGAAAAGAAATTAAACCGGCTTTTAATATCGAATTCATGTAAACGAAAGGCGGAAAAAGACATTTCAGAAAGGCCATCAAAAATTATTTGACGTGAATTGGAAAAAAATTTGCCAGAAACGGTCACCACGTTGGACGTTAATTGTATTAGAAGAAATATTTATAACGCCAGAAGAAAACTTCTACCAGGGAAAATTCCTACAAATATTTTAGAAGTTCATGAGGCTGTGGATAAATTAGACATACAGACAGGCAAAAAAGAAAAGTTCTTGTTTCTAAATAGCACAGAAAATAACATTATAGTTTTTTCTTGTGAAACAAACTTTAGAAATTTGTGTGAGATGAGCCACATATATATGGACGGCACATTTTCATATTGTGCTAAGTATTTTTTGCAACTATTTACTATTCATGGACTGAAAAACGGGCATTACATCCCGTTGGTGTACTGTCTTTGGCAGATAAACGCCGTGAAACATATGTAAAACTATTTAAAGTTTTGACTGAAAAAATTATGGAAAAATACTGTAGTTGTAGTCACTTACTGTCTTCATTGTCAACCATCTGAAGTGTGTTTAGATTTTGAAAAGGCGATCCACAGTATCCTATATCCACAAGTATTATATGGCCGTCAATAAAAATTGATGGATGTCGTTTCCATTTACATCAAGCCTGGTATCGAAAAATTCAGAATTTAGGACTTACAAACGAATTTAAAAATAAATATTCAGAAGTTGGTAGATGGTTGAAACATTGCTTTGGGTTGACATATTTAAATCCAGACGAGGTGGGCGATTCTTTTGCATTCGATTTATTCGCAGAAAAACCAACTTATCACGGAGATGCTGTTGACAAGTTCGCAGATTATCTGCTGGATACTTATATAGACGATAATTCAGATTTTTCACCACAAATTTGGGCTAAGGCAAGTGCATTAAATATTCATACCACAAATGCATGCGAATCTTTCCATTTACGATTTAACGCTTCATTTTATGCTACCCATCCATCTATTTACATTTTTATCGAAAAACTTAAGGAATTCCAGATGGATACGTATATTAAAATTCAAAGTGTTAATATACCTAATAAAATTAAAGATAATGCTACAAAACGGAAATTACAAACTTTAACACAATTGTGTGAGCAACTGTCTTCGCGTAAAATTACTCGATTGCATTTTGTTAAGTGTGTGCCGTATTATTCATCTGTAAATACAAATTTGTAATGGTTAAAAATTAATAAAATAAAATTAGTTTGTAGGTATAAGTTATTTTTGTATATATAAAGTTTGTAAAAATATTTAATAAAAGGTGTACAATTTGAAGCTTGTATTTTATATTACTATTAATATTAGTGGTGCCCAAAATTCATAAGCTATTTAGCAGGTACAAATACTACAGGTGCCCAAAATAGTTATCGGATTAAATAGCGAGGTAACCTGGTACCCATATTACATCTGCCCATGTATTCTTGGTTTGTCCTTCTTGATTTCTAATTAGACGGCTTTCTACAGAAAGGAAGCAACCCACAAGTTTGTGATTTTTGAACTTTCGCATAATATTGCATTAAGAACCCTAACCTTTACTGAAACAAAAGATACAGGCCACATTCTGGTACCTAGCGTTCCTTGTTAGCCGACTAAATTGGTTAAGCAAGTAACCTGAAGGCAGAAGCAATTCAAGCGGCTTGGTTGCTTTCTAATAATAAAAATACGAAATACGTGTTTAAAAGAACTAATTTAGAAAATCCATCAGTGCCAGTTTTATAAAATTAACGTCATACCATTATTCCTAATCAGAAATTTATTTAAACTTCTCAAGATCTTCATATGCTTTACTTTTTATGTACTTATAATAACAAACAACAAAAAAATTATAATAAAAATACCTAATGCGATACTGTTTAATATAAAAGAAATATTTTAAATCCATCCCAAACTTTTACCCACAGTGTAAGAGAAATAGGTATAGCTATAGCAAATCCTAAGAGATGAAAGGTACCGCCGCGAAGTCTCCTAGCTGGTTGTTATGGTAAGCTGTGTTTAAACCCCATGAATTTTTTATAATTTTCAAAACTTTTACATTTAATTACTCAATAACTTTTTTTTGGCATGGTTCAGTTGTGATTTTTTACCTGCAGCATGGAGTTTAAGAAATTCAAACGCAGACAAATGCTCCATGCGAGTGCGAAAATTGTGATTTTTAATATGATTTGTTATTTAGTCAATGAATATAAATTGAGTGTGACTGCAGCGGTAAATCGTGCTTCCAAAATAAGTGGGGTCGGTGAAAAAGCAATTTATACCATCAAGAAAGAGGAGGAACAAAACAATGGCGAATTGAAATCTCCTTCAAGAAGAAAAAAGTGGATGAGACAGTCAAATTCTCGCGAATATACATATTGTGAGGGTTTAAAGAGCTTATAAGAGGAATTGTGCACAATGATTAAAAAGACATTCCGCCAACTTTGAATGCAATTTATATTATTATTATTATTATTATTCGACGGAATGAGAATTCACCATCGTTTTCTTTAAAGAACCCTATATAGATTGATGAAAGATATTGGTTTTGAATATGTAAAGCGTAGTCGTAAAAGTACAATGTTAGAACGAAACTTGTGATTTCTTACCTGCAACATGGAGTTTATGAAATTCAAACGCAGACAAATGCTCCATGCGAGTGCGAAAATTGTGATTTTTAATATGATTTGTTATTTAGTCAATGAATATAAATTGAGTGTGACTGCAGCGGTAAATCGTGCTTCCAAAATAAGTGGGGTCGGTGAAAAACCAATTTATACCATCAAGAAAGAGGAGGAACAAAAAAAAATGGCGAATTGAAATTTTCTTTAAGAAGAAAAAAGCGGATGAGACAGTCAAGTTCTCGCGAATATACATATTATGAAGGTTTAAAGAGCTTATAGAAAGGAATTTTGCACAATGATTAAAAAAAGACATTCCGCCAAGTTTGAATGCGATTTATAATATTATTATTTGACGAAATGAGAATTCACCATCGTTCTCTTTAAGAACCCTATGTAGATTGATGAAAGATATTGGTTTTGAATATGTGAAGCGTAGTCGTAAAAGTATAATGTTAGAACGAAACGACATCATTCATTAACGGCACAGGTATTTAAAAGCCATCAAACAATATCGCAAACAAAAATTGTAACTTTATCTATTTAGATGAGGCTTGGGTCAACGTGAGTCAAACGGTTAACTATGCATGGTGTGTTAACAAAATTGAAAATTGTAGAGATGCTTTTATAAAGGGTTTAACAACAGGCCTCAAAACACCTACATAAAGAGGTCCACGTTTCACGTTTTGTTATTGTTCATGCATGAAGGTGGATTTTTACCTAGCGCCGCGCCTGTTTTCTTGGCAAAGAAAAACGATGGCGATTATCATAACGAAATGAACGCCGACTATTTTGAGCAAAGGTTTGAGGAGTCGCTGATTCCTAACTTACCCAAAGTAGACGAAAGAACATTGTTGTTTTGCGTAAAAATTGTTTTTGGGCTGCCACTTTAGAAAATGCGTTTTTCTGATCATTTTTTAGCTCGGAAAGTGCGTCTTTGCCGGTCTAGATCGGAAAATTGACATAACTTCTTGGAAAAGAGACATAACTGCTCGGCAAAGTACATACTTTCCCGAGCTCTTATGTCAAAATTTTCATTAAAGACAAAATACCAGCTCCTAGAATTTTCGAGGGGTATGTTAAATCACAGTTGCTATAACAATACCGCAGCCATCTGTCAGTAAATGTTAATAATAAAAGAGATAAGTTTTGTTATAAATGTTGAGCAATAAGTATTCTGTTCCTATATTATTGTCAAAAAATATTGTACGCGCCACACTCGGAAAGTGTATTTACAGGACTCACATGCTTTCAGGGCTCTAGGATGCTCGCCCTGTAAAGTATCACTTTCCGTGCTACACAGGTAAATAACTATTATTTGTTACCTGTTTTTTTGCCGATCCCAGCATAGCGATGGCTGGCAACGGCGCGCTTCTCAGTGTGTCTCGCACTATAGTGAAATTGATTTGTCGTCGTAATTTTAATTACAAATTAATTTAATAAATAATTTATTTTTCGTATATAATTCGTGTAATCAGCCAACACAGAAATATAAGACTTGTTTGTATAAATCTATAAATCTAAATTAAGAAAGACTTGTTACAAAGCATATTAAATGTTTAAGGGATCTATAAATTACATTTGTATTAAAAAACTAATATCATGGATCGTTTGTATAGATAGTATTTGCAATTACTAAAACAAATAATACAAACAAATAGCAACAACAAGTCGTAAACATCTATCATAACTGTTTAATTAATGATTTAGTTAGACCTCTAGCCTGCGCAACTAAATAAGTAAATGTTATTCCCCGTACCGAGACCAGGAAGTAGTGAAAAAATTAAAAAAATTTGAATAATGAAGAAACCCAGTCGGATGAAAACTGAAATATTGCCTATACAACAGTATAAAACATTAAAGTGCACAATATGGAATGTTATGTATGTTAACCTATATCCTCAAAAGTTATTTCTAAAATGTGGTCCGCTAACCAAAACAATTTATACAGGGTGTTTCAATTATAATGGTCAATAGAAAAACTGGAGAATCATTGTACTAAAATAAGTTTTATGATTTTTCTTCAATATCAACCCTTCTAACCCCCCCATTTTTATTCCAATTCTTTTCAAAATCAATAGGCCTCCCTTTTAGAATTTGATTTTCCTGAAAATTTCAAGTCGATATAATTTTTTCGTTTTTGACTTATCGTGCGGACAAAAAACGTGTTGACGGACGTACGAACGGACAGACAGACGGACATTTTTAAAGGTTTAAAATTTGAAGAAAAGGATTTTGGTACAAACATTTTTAAATTTGGATGAATATTAAAAATTTCGATTCTTCAAAAGTAACATAATACTCTTCATACTCTTCACAGACTACTGTGTACAATTTTAATAACCGTAGTTACAATGTTAATTAAAATGTTTCAAAATAATCCATTGTTCACATGTCTCTATCCGGACATGCATTTGAAATCGCCCCAACTCGTTCTAACCTTTGTCACTGAAAACCGTGGTATCTGAAACTTCTGACAGTTCAAATGGTTTAAAATTTGATTCGAACCACTGCTATTATATGTCATCTGAATGCCAGGTAACTGAATACTTTATTAGCTGTACTACAGTGTCTTTAAAATAATAATTTTACTTCTAAATATCCACCACTTTTTTGAGCGGTAGTCGATTTGTGTTATTCAAACCGTTACAGTTGGTTTTATAATCCACTTACCCCACTTTGAAATCCAGCGTAGACGGTGGAGGATTCCATACTCCAGTGTGGGCCAACAACCAATCGCACCAAATTTTGACAGCAGGAAGAAGAACGTTTGCATCTGGAGGAAAAGACGACGGGTGCATATCTTTGTGAGCTGATATCTGATCCTGAAGGATCGAAACGCATCGTTCCAGAATAAGGTTAAACATTTGAAGAGAAACGATTAAGGCGCGTTCTTGTAATTCGGATCTGTAGCCTGGAAGCATAGCAGGATCTGAAATAAAAAAATTATTTAATAAAAAAAAATAATAGGTAAAAATAAAATACAGAATATTACCATTACCGGACTCACTTCTAGCCTAGCAAAGATATACCTGACAACGCGGCGATCGAGTCCATTTCACTCATATTTTATAATAATTTTAAATCGTTTGGATTAAATGAAATTAAAACAGTTTTTTCTTTAATTAGTTGTTAAAAGTGTGTACTTCTATTAACATTAAGCCGAGAATTCGACGTCAATTTAGGAAAAATATGTTGAATGTAATTCCTAGGCCTAACTTTATTTCCTCAAAAACAGCAGTACTTTTTTGTACACACTTTCCTGAAAGTAAAATTATCTGGTATAATTATTTGAACCCGATCAAAATTTAATAAAAATGTCTAGAAAAGCTTAAGCTTAAACCAAATGCATTTCTCTGTATTTTCCCAAACCTGCCTAAATATTTATCAAAATAGCACCTACTCTCAGAAAATCGCATACTGAAAGAAAAAAGGAACACATCGAACTTTCTAATAAATTAAGTGATATGTTTGAAAAGGCCGATATTATCGAAAGTTTTGAGGAACTAGTATAACATTTTAAAACGAAAATTAATCTTGACAATTGCTGATCCATTAGAATAGTTGAAAACATTAAAATCTGTTTATATAGGCTAAATGAAGAACAGGAGTATTTAAGAATTTCACTTCACTTCGTAGCGCAGACTGAATGATTTTATTCGCTGGGTGCGCTGTTGTCCAATGTCCTATTGGAACCCCAACAGGGGCAGTGAAGAAGATCTCTCTACTTTATTTTGTGAAAGTAGATGCACATATATAAATAGTAATGATTTGATAAATATTTTAAACTGAAACTGAACGCCTTGGTTTGAAGTAGAGTCGGTAATGGTGGTTCTAATTTCGTCAACGTATCGGATCTGCCGTAAAATTTATTTTTTGTTGTTTTAAGACAAAGAAATACGATCAAACATTTATTTCAATTTATAAATGGTTAAAAGATGAGTAAAGAAATTATACACCTTGGTTACTGAACAGAAATAACAGACTCAACGTGTATCCTTGTGAAACACCCATCTAAGTTTGAATCAAAATTAATATTTACATGTTTTGTTCGATAGATTTTAAAGAAACCGAATTATGTTTTCAAGTTATTCAAGAATTAGACATTTATCCTCAAAATGTTTCTAGCCATGACAATAAAATTAACAGGCTATTAAAATAGATACAAAAATCAAATCAAACCGTTCTGTAAAAATAAAATCACGCAATATTTATAGACTTATAATCATGTTAGTTAGGGTTAAAACATTTTAAAAAGTATTGTTAGTCTATTTACATATGATGTAAGTTTTAACAGTAGTCAAGTATGTGTTTTTAAAAAGTTGTATGCTATATTAACTGGTTTACAATTGCAATTATATGCACACATCTAAGTACTATGAACCAGGGTTTATTTGTTGATGCGAGTTTGAAAATATTGTGATTATTTCATCAGAAAACACTTGCTGGGGAAGACAAGTCTAAAATATCGTCAGTGAATTATAGGAATGGTCCGGACGGTAGGTGAATAGTGAAGAAAGTTTAGAACGCTATTACTGAAGTATCTACAAAGCAAGGATATATCTCCAGCTTCAGATATTTCAGCTGTCCCATTAGTGGTTCTGATAATTATTGTTCTTTAGTAATAAGCGCTTCTTAGCAAGGGTCCAAAATCGTAATCTGATTCTGGGACCCACTTGGTTCTTTACCACATTTTTTTGTTCTTGGATCTTTTATTTTTTAGAGTTATCGCTTTTAAACGAAGATATATATTTTTTTTGATGATAGATTTGAGATTGAGGAGTAAGGTTTAATGTTTGGATAGTTTCAATTATGGCTGAAAAAGAATCTGGAGGAGTTTGGTAAAAAAAGTTCGAATCCATAGAATGAAAAGAGTCCATCCCAGTCGGAAAAATTACAATGCCAGATTGTTTGTGACGGAGAAATTTCGATTTTAGCTTTGTATGGTCCATTGCCTATTAAAATCTAGATATTTCTTTGGGTTTATCGCAGAAAAGTTCTTCGCACAAAACGGGTTATAATTTTGACTCTAGCCCGCAGATTATATTAACAAATATTTAAGGTATGTACATATATTTTTTTCTACGATCTCTAATCAAAGTAGGCTTTTGCGCTTCGAAATACAACCGCAAAGTTGACGTTTTCCGCTTTGTAGCTCGCCGAACGGAAAACTTGACATCTTTGTTGCTCGCCTAATTTAAATTAGATATAATATAATATTTCTTTTTAACAAATGATTTTAAAGTTATTTGTACGTAATTTGAGGTTTTATTGTTTTATTATCTAAGTTAACATTAACTTTGAATACCAACTCCGTTTTCATGATTAACTTAGATATAGGCAACACATTATACACTACTTACGGCAAATTTTTAGTTTTTATATCTATTTCTTAAAATAATGTGATCGTAGAAAAAATCTTGTGTGCATTTTGAGCGAAAAGTTCGTTGCCGCGCTCCGCTACGCGTCGCGCGGCCAACTTTCTACCTCCAGCGGCAATCACTTTTCGCTTTTAATACACAAATAGCTATTTTTTTCTACACCCACATGGATATTAGGTATGCGCACAAACTACAAGACGAAAAAGTATGCCATTTCGTTCATCGGAACAAATATATTTCATATTCATTCTACCCAATAAGAACACGGCAAAAAAAATGAAATCTGCCAATCACAGTTCATATTTTGGTTGCCCAATTACTAGTATTTTTTTATTATTTTAAATAAGTGACAATAATGTCAAACTGTCAGTATATTTTTTAGTTATTCAGATTAAATATACATTAAAATGAGTTATTCTTGTGTAGAATCGATAAATAATAGCATTTCTATTTATATTTCGTCTATATTTTTAAATAAACCATACTTTTAATGAAACTATATGAAATCAATTTAAGTATGAGTATAAAAACTAAAACATTAAGTGTGGCGACGGAGCAATGACTAGGTCATTTGACTTTCATGCAGAGATCCCGGGTTCAATTCTAGGATTGGAGACTATTTAAATTAAATCTTCTTTTTTCAGTTAGTAAGTTAGTAACGGTCATAAATTATTATTAAATTAGTTATTTTATCTTAATAACCTAAAATAATTTTTAAAATTTTTAGATTTTTGTTAGTGGGTCGTAGAAAAAATATTCTGTACAACTCGAGTATATTGTCCGTATAGCATTCAGATGATTGAGCACTCCGCCTATGACATCATACTCAAATTTCGTCTTCGTGCGATATGGCCATCATATCCACTCTTGTTGCACAAACTACTATTCTGATACCTATCATAAATATATAACTATCCAAAGTTGTAAATGAATACACGTTGTTTTTTGTTTAATTACCTAATGTAAATTATGATCATTTTGCATGTTGTCCTGTGTTAAGATACTATAATATTACTCAATGTTAAATGTATAGCTAATGAAAGATACAACTAGGAAAGGCTTTTAAAATACTTCTGAAAGTTCTTTCTTTTTGCTCCTAATAGCTCATAATGATGAATTGATTATATAGCCCAAAGGATTTTACGCTCCGGTGCGTCGATAAACGTATGTTGAAAAATTGAAAGCAGTAAAAATGTTTAGTATTCAGACTAATAATTATAAATAAATGTTAAGAATGTGGTAAAATGACGATGACCCAGAGTTAGTTTTTTATGATCAAAAAGTTGTTACTAATCGAACGATATACTGCAGTAAAAAGTAAGGATAAGGACGAAAAACGCAAAATTCAAAAAATGAACTGAAGTACCTACTTCTACAAAACCAAAAATTATAAAATTTTATAATAAAAAAAATGTCAGATCGTATGACAATGTAAAGCGTGTTTCGCAAAGAACGTGACATATTTCTGGTAGGAGAGTGAGTCACATGATACGAAATTTAAAATTTAAAACGTATTACCCTAACTAACCTAATTAACCTACGAGAGTTGTCCCAAAAATATTGCATTGAACGCTCTAGCGGTCGTTGTAGGCAAAGTAGACAGCTGATCGAAGCGTCATAGTGTGTAGATTGAAGTCTTAAGAAAACGTTGGTACACTATGGTCGTGAGTATGGAGACTAGAGATAAGGAGTCGAATCGGCATACTCGAAATACGGTCCCAAAAACCAAACCGAACCGAACAGATTTTTTTATTGTTATGATACAAGTATAAAGGGATATTTGGGAATGTACGTGATATTACCTGATCAGTTAATTTCGGCTTTCCACTTTTTACTTTCCTATCTGTATACAGATATAAGGAAAGTATAGGAATCATGATTTTTTCGACATCGAGTTTTCGACGGATTTTTACGTTTTGAGGTCCCCTGAATCCGTTTTGACTATTTTCGCGATGATGTCAGTGTCTGTGTCTCTGTGTGTCTGCGCGTGTCCCTGCGTGTGTGTGTGTGTGTGTGTGTGTGCGTGTGTGTGTGTGCGTGTGTGCGTGTGTGTGTGTGTGTGTGTGTGTGTGTAAAACGCATAACGCATAACTCATGAACCGATACACAGAAAAACAAAATTTTAAACTTAAGCTTTGTTTCGGCGTCCAATGAGCTGTTGAGCAGAGTCGGAACATCTGGGGGGGGGGGGGTACTTTATAGGTGGTCATTTTTATATTTTATGAAATATATCTGTTATTTACGTTTGGAGAAGAAAATTGTTCAAATAAAAGTTACTTCTAATATAATTATCTAAAATTTTTGTTTTATGCAAAATTTTCCTAAAATGGTCCGTATTCGAGAAATTTGACAAAATGTAAAAAAAAAAAATTTTTTATAAAAATTGTTCAAATAAAAGTTGTTTGTAATATAATTCTCTATAATTTTTATTCTATACATAATTTCTCTAAAATGGACCGTATTCGAGATATTTGAGAAAATGTGTAAATTTCGAATTTTGAAGAAAACTCAAAAACGGATAAAGAAAAAAACATTAAATTTTAAACTTAAA